AGCAGAACGTCTAATTTTCGATGTCCGTTGCGTTTGCAGTCTTAAAACACTTTTGCTGTAAGTCCCCAGGCATTGGATCGTGAAAGATATTATTCCTCTCCGAAGGCATATCTGCCTCTGATTTGTTTTTTCATGTTACTGCTGGCCTCCGGGTCGACGCTTACAATGTTTTGGCTCCCCCGCGAGAAGTTCGCGGGGCCGACTTCGGTGAATAGTGTAGGCTCTACCAGTTAAACATAGAATAAAAGTTTACCCTTGTGTACGGAGTTTGCTAGGAGACCGATAGTTTTTGATTACATTGGCAGTCCCTTGTCATATTAAGGCTATAAGAGTAATAGTTTGAATTAAAAATGTTGAAAATCCGTGTATGACATTGTTGTAGACGTTGGCGAATATGTTTCGACTTGCCAGCTGTTGACATGCTGATTTTGTATTTGAGTGCTGTTTTATATTTCATTTTAGAGATAACCGATGTTACGAAACAAAAAGACTTGTCAGGATTTTATCGCAAGCTTCTCCACGAAATCGCAGATCCCCTGTCGTCCAAAACTGGGTAAATTGGTTTAACTGCAAACTGTAGCGAGTAATGATTTTTCGAATATTTTGTGCAACGATTGTATGATTTTGTTTAAAGTTTATGCCATTTTTACGGTGGTGTAATCATATATATTGCGGCGGGAGAGTGGTGGAAACTTTCGTTCCAAAATGGTGATGATGTATTTTTTTCATCAGCATTATCATCCTCTTTGTCACCGGCTTCCAGCGTTATTTTTGTCATTTTTCTCTTTAACATCGCTATCATCATCGTCTTTATCACTGACAGTAGCTGCCTGGTGCTTTAGTAACTAAGCAGAATCACTGTTGTTCAGTCTCGGTGCCCAGCTCGACTGTCTCGATGCTTCGGGATTTCATGTCTCTCTTTTAACTCATCATCCCATATGGGCCGATGTCTTTCATTTGAACTCGTGTATCCCTTTTGATACTAATCCCTGTTGATCACTGCTAAAGTCCATCGGTCATCTGTCAGTCTTTCGATGAGGTTAATTATAGTCTGACTCTAGCCGCATTCGACGGATTGGGGACCATGTTTATGTTTTCCATTTCATTTGATGTTGATAAATGTTTTTTGTTATTACTGTCTACACTTGCCAGACGTCTTAGACAGAACATCCGTCTGCTCTTAATTCTAGTCATATGCAATTCCAGGTGACTCCTTTTTCTCTCAGAGGCTTTGCACGCTCGAATTTTTCCTCTGTGGGTTCGGCACAGCTACTTCTGCGGCAGTTTCGTTTCTCGCTTCCTGATTTCCCGCAGAGTCTTTGTCATAGTTTTATCACTGTCGTTTTCATCGTCTGACTATCCTTTGTCGTTTTAATTCGAGAGAGTAGTCAGTGTTATTTTCGTTAAAATTCTAATTTAGGGCCTTAAGCATTTAATAAAACCCATATATACTTAGTATTTTCTTCAGTTATCGATTCTATTGTGTAATTTAAGATTATCCTCATTTAATGATAAACTCAACTTACCTTAGGAAAAATGCCTTACCACGGATTAGTTAAATGGCTGTTTTATTGTAGGTCGATGGTTAAATTTACTTTCTGAAAATTATGGCGGTATACTTTGGTTTACTATATCTTTATCGGAATCAGCTGACCTGTGATTTCTTTTGATGTTGCTTTTTATTTTCAGTGTTTTTGAATCGGCATTTGATCATTAAGAAAACAACGAGATCAAAGGAGGTGTATATTAGATACGCCTGCGATCGACCCCGGGTTCGATACCATTGAGCATTATATTATGATGCATCTCATTACTTTAACAGGGGTGTTTTTAACGCGTATGGTGTACCATTAGTTTCTTGATCTCTGTTCTTCAATAACTTCTTTTAACTATGGAATATGATTTTGTTTGACCTAAAATATTGGCTTTTTTCTGCCACCAGGTTTTTTTTAATGTACGCGACATGCGGATGATAATGCCGTCCGTGTCTGGGACTTAAACACTGTTGTTTTCACTTTCAGTCTATCGGATCTTAGGTATATAACAGCCAAATAGAATTCCTGAAGGAATGTTTCCCGCACTTAATACTGAGGCACTTGTAGGATCAGATTTCAGTACGCCTTTCAAACCTTGTTAGGTAACATAATGACTGACCGTTATCTACCTACAGATTTTTGGAAATTGACGAAAT